TTTCTTCCTTTCTTTCTTTCTTTCTTTCTTTCTTTCTTTCTTTCTTTCTTTCTTTCTTTCTTTCTTTCTTTCCTTCTTTCTTTTTTTTGGAAAAGCATTTAGTTATTTAAAAATTGTTTATTACATTATGTTTTTTATTGAGTGAGAGTAACCACTTCTTTACCTTTGTTCCTTCTAATGATTTTATTGCTTCTTTCTACTTTACAAATATCAGCTACAATGTACATGCATATTAGAGAAGGGAGAGATTCCCATGAGAGAATAACAGGAAGGGAGGAGTGAAGCGTATGAGAAATCTTTGCAGAGTTGCTGCTTATGAGAGTTCAAGACAACCACCTTGACTTCATCTTGTTCTCCAGGCCTCAGTTCCTTTTACAGGGTCTCGTTTTCTAATTCTAAAGTAGTATTGTCCCTTATTCTATCTAGAAACAGGAGTATAACCTTTTCACCCTTACAAACATCCCTGTATGATTGTCAACAAAATCTAAAATATTCATGCCTCAACCACCCCTAAGCTAATGCTATACAAGCTACCAGGTACTGCTTCATGACCTATTTTTCCTTAACTGTTACACAGAAAATTGTTCCAAATCATCCCCAAAATAATCTCTGCTCTTTCATTTATAATATTTAAGCAATACTAGAACTAGCCTACAAACTGAAAAGCTAAAATGTTGCATTCAACGTGGGTTTCAATTTACCCTGGTATTAAAGGGAGACTCTTGCATCATGGAAGTTGAACTTGGATAGGACTTTCTCAACTGAATGCTGTCAGCTGCCAGAGCTTTGGGCAAAAACCCAGAAGACATGAAACTTCAGACATGATGGATTAGCCAAGAAGCACCAGGCCAATATGAGAAAGGCCAAATGAGAGCAGGCAGCAAACACAATTCTGTTGCCATCAGAACTTTGTTATCAGGGTCATGTACAAATTTTCATAGTGAAAGTCAGGCACAAGATGGCAACTGAGGAGGGCATTTAAAGGGGAAGTAAGTCACCCTAGAGAACTCCTTTTTTATTCTCCTGAGAAATTGCCAGAATGAATTAGAAGCCATTTGAGTGTTGCATTCATTACTGCTTCAACATTATTTGTCCTCAAGAATTCTCTTCCAAATTTGCATCTGGCCTAATTTGGCAAAGGATACCACCATAAAAGACAACTTCAAAACCCATTTATGTGGACAAAATGTCTTCAACAAAACTTCCATACAAACTACTTCCAAGATGCTTTATTCCCAGACTCTCAAACCTTCAGTTCCATCTCCCCAGTGCCCCTCACCTCCACCAGAAATGTTCATCTAGATATCCGGCCTTTGCCTCTAATTCAATATAAAACAACCCGCTTTCTAGGCTCATATTTCCCAGTAAGCTCTTCTGGCAGACCTCCATGATTTGTGGTGGAATTATTATGACACCAGAGGCCCAATGCATGAATTCGTGCAACAGTGGAGTCCCTTGGCCTGGACTGCGGGATCGTGCTGAAATCGGCTCTCCAACATCCCCTGAGGGGTCCCGGATTGCAAGAGGGCCAGGGAGGACTGCAGGAGGGCTCCAGGGCATGTCCAGCGCATCTCACTCAGTCCTGATTGGCCCGGACGCCGGTAGCAAGCTAACCAACTGGTTGGAAC